CCCCCCCCCCCAACCCCAAAAAAAAGTAGTTTTTTTTAGATAAAATTATTGGGATCTAGAACAGATCACCTTCATATAACATCCAACTAAATAGGGTGGACACTCATTTCCTTAAAAAGGGAGAACATTGGTGGAATTACTATAAATTAAAAAAAAACAAAAAAACATAAGCAATATGCCTAAACCAATTATGTTTAAACCATAAACATGCGATAAAATAGTTGCTTATAACTTCTTCATATATCATCACATTGTTTTTCATATGCTTGTGCCAAAGCATAAACATGCGATACAACAGTTGTTTATAACTTCTTCATATATCATCACATGGTTTTTCATATGCTTGTGCCAAATCATACATCAACAAATTCACCGAACAATATACACAAGTTACAACAAAAGAATATAGACAACATGAAAATACCACCAGCAAAAATATACTAATGCATGAATCATTCCACCAGTCATACTGCTTTCATCTTTGTGATATGATTGAAAGCTAGTAAAATTTTGCAAAAACAAGTAAACCCGTGAAAAAAATACCAGTAAACCAATTATATGACTTGTGTTGGTATGCATCAAAAGGTAAATTACTGGAAAGAGCACCGAATCAAGAAACAAACCTTGGATGCTTGGATATTGGCATGCTGAACTTTGCTCCCAGATTCGCGTTTCAGTGAATCCTCTGCTCATGACATTTCCAAACAAGATAGTTATCAAATTTATACATAGGCATCTAAGCGAATAATATCCCCCATCAAATCAATCACTTTAGGGCTTAAAAAAGATGACTTTTTTCGGAACACCAAACTCTACGAGTAACCAGCAAAGCACAGTAAGCTGAGATCAAATTTGATTACCAGATATTGCGAAAGGGAAGTGACCTCAAACTATTGGAAAGCATTTAAACGTCACTTTTGCGAAGAATCGATCAATTTTTTTCGCAGAGATCTAAAAATTGAAAACCCTAGATAGGGTTTTGGGAATAGCTTACTGAGGACGAGTACAGGGGCGTGCATGGCTGCTGAGGGAGAGGAATAGAGAGAGATTTGTGCTGAAAATGCCCCCCGCCTTCTTCTTCCCAAAATGGGCCTCTTTTTCTTTGCTTTCGGTGACGGCGATGCGCGCGCTCTCTCGAGATTTCTTCTCCTTTCTCTCTCTACAGTTGGAGTGGGAGCCAAAACCCTTGATGCTTATATATATATATATATTTGTGTAAAGAAGGAGAGAGCACGTGACTACCACGTGCGTGACTTGTAAACCCCTCACGCCCGGGTTTGGTGCCCGGTAATAAATTCTAGAGAATGAAATATATTCTTTTATACAAATAGTAGAATCAGAAAATTATTATTTATACTATAGTAAATTCAACAGTAAAATAATTATTATATTATAAACAGTAGCTTTGTTACTGTACCAACTGAAGCACTGTAGCATTTTCGAAAATGCGAGGTACTGTGTCAATTCAATGAACTTATGATTACTGTTATAAACAGTACCATTGTTACTGTAGCACACGGGAATACTGTAACACTTTCAAAATGCGAAATATTGTGGTAATTCAAAAACTTAGTGTAGCATTTAAGAAACATGATTGCTGTCGCATGAAAAAATTTATCGTCGTGCTTTGCGCGGACCGCAAACTAGTGAATGAGTTAAAAGGAGTAGAATGGAATAAGTATAGAAATGAAATTCCCATTCTTATTTTTGGATATGAGTCTTTTTTTTTAGTATGGATAATTGGTAATAATCAAGGCATAACTTTAATTTTTCGGTTCTCACTTAAATCAGACTGCTCACTTCCTAGCATTTTTTTTGAAATGCGCTCATTTCCACATAGAAGTGGATATGAACATTTCATCCTCACTTATTCTCGCACACCAAATGAGGTGTTTTTTCATTAGCAAAGGAAAAAAAATTGAGGGTTAAAAGTAAGCAAACACACTCGCTTCCTTAGCCTTCCTAATTTGAATGGGTGGGAAAAGATGGGTTTTATCAAAGAGGGAAAGGAAAGAGTCTACAAGATTAGAATGACAATCATCCAAAAAAAATATTTGTAATTAATAAGAGAAAAGAAGGGGGGGTTAAAAGTAAGAAGGATCACTCACTTTCTTAACCTCCTAAAGTGGATAAATAACGAGAAAAGTGATAAGAGTTTAAATTAAATTATTTAAATATCCCAACATTTTTCTTAAGGAAATAAAAAAATTTAAGTGTAATATTATCTAGAAGGATATATTAGTATTATGGTGTTCTCAATCGTCAAAGTGTAATCCTTTACTAGCAACGGATAAGTATACTTTTGCATGCAATGCCCCAATCAAATTGGCGGCCAAGACCGACAAGGGTTCCAACTTAGCCAGCTCGTTGAGTCGACATTCCTTCATGTCCAATCGAAATGTGGTACTAATCGACCCTCTTGTCAAAGACGACTCGCAACGAGCCCTCTCGACCTGCTATTCAACACCTCACAATGACAAGTGTTACTTCTCGGCGAAGCTAGAGGACGTCTTCAGCATCGAGCCTCTCCCGCTAACACAACGTCGTCGTCGCATTTAATGCTTGGCAGGCACTATCATACCTCTAGCCCTGATAGCCTTCGTGACTCATCGGACCACGCCGGCGCCACCATGCCTCAGATCGCGTCATATTTAATGCTGAGGTGATCTCTCCTCCAGTCACTAGCCGACACCTGTAAAGCAGGAGCTGAGTCAACCGCCAGCCCATGCTTCTTCACCGTCATCTTGTGCTCAGCCACAATTATTGTTCTAACCTTATACCATCAGTATAAATATATCGTACTATTCTAACCAAAAGCTTCTTCTGAAAAGGATTCCCAAATCTGGTCTTCTAAGATAGATCTGCAAATTATAATACACTCACAAGAAATCACAATTCTTTACTTTCCCCACTCAAGTTCACCAGCTGACTTTATCGTCAGAGGAACCACGGGTGAACCAGTCCCCGTCCTCTCATAGGTTTCTATATGTGTAAACTTCATCTACTTGATTCAGAACTGGATATTCGGGAAAGGAAGCGACCCTTCATCAACTTCACCACGACTGAACCATGGATATAATTAATTGTGTGATCACTTAATATCGACAAGTAGTCATGTCATTATCCTTCCCTTTCTTTTTTCACCCTAAACAAGCATATATTGTTAATTTTTTATTTGTTTTTAAACAATACAACTCACTCAATATGTCACAAGCCAATATTTTAAAACAAAACATCTAATGCAACATAAGTTTATAAATGACCAACATAGTACACATAGGGGGGAAATCCTTTATATTAATTGACCGATACTTTCTTGCATCATGTTAGCGAAATTCATTATCCTAATTGACAAAAATTGCTGAAAATGATTAGTACAAGTATTTAATCGCATTACTACTTGTTTTCAGACAAAAAAAAAATTCAACACAACGAAATAGTCATTCTCTTTTATTAATCTATTAGGAAAAGAACAATAATGTTACAATTGAGATTCTGCGACTATGTGGAACATACAAATAAAATAACACCATTTTTTGGACAATTATGTGAGATTGAAATGAGCCCATTCAAATCTTTTTGGAGATGAAGGAAGAACTTGTTATTGAGGGTTCGCCTCGTTGAACAAGTGAAAAAGAGTGCCAACGATGTTCAAATATCGATTGCTATGAGGCTGTGCCGACACGAGATTGAAGATTGAGTGTTGAGAACTAAAGATGAACAAAGTTCACAATGGGAGCTTCTTCCCTCCATAGTTTGAGTTTTGGATAGTTGAGAAACAGGTGGAGGATAATAATAGCACAATTAATGCTCTAAAAATTCCTCTTTTAAAATTAACTGAAGAGGGGTATTTATAAGATTCATATTGAACTGTGTGCCGCATAGTTGGGTCCGCGCCTGTGCGTCGGCCATGTTGCCAATCTATCACATCAATCACTTCGCCAGACTTTTATTAAATGCATTATGGCCGTGAGATCTCGTGGGTCCTGTATGTCATTATGGTCACCATATCTTCGGTCATCTTGCATCAAATGCAACTTGACTCCCCATTCTTGAGCAGTCTGCAAGAAGCCATCGTCATCACTACTTCTGGCTAATCAATCTATTGTATCGCGACCACCAAACTCAACAATTCAGCAATTCGAGGGATACACTGAGTTTAGCGGCGCGTTGTCTCGGGACCGTGAGCCTCAGCTTACAAGTGCCGCAGTCTTGCCAAGGTCAACACATTAAATAGCATCAGTTGCGATTAGATAATGGAAGGAGAGGTCAAATCGTGCTAGTGGTGTCTCGCCTTCTATACGGTAAGCAAAGCTGGCGTGCGCTTATCTTCATACTATTCACAAGTTTATACAGGAGTTTAGGTTCGCAGAGAGTTTTCGGGTCTATGCTGAATTGTGTTTCATATCGGGTTATGTCCTCCATCCTTAAAGTTTCAGCTTCTTTTTTTCATTTAGCCCACTTTCTTTGCTTCGTTAGGATTGTGTAATATGACCATTGTGTGTATGGGTGTTCATCTTCGATTTGTACTTCTGATCGCTTACACTAGGAATCTAAGCAAGTAAAACATGGATATAATCATTCAATTAAGGGCCCGTTTGGATGGACGTAAGTATTAGAAGTAAAAAGTGAATCAAAGATGTAACTTTCTCAATTATGAAGTAGAAAGTAGTGGAAGTAGTACTTTTTTGTTTGTTTCATACATTTTTAGAAGTAGAGGAAATAATACTTCATCATCTTCTTTTGTTTGTTTGTTTGGATAGAAATTGAATATAATATTAGGAAGTAACTAATATACGTAGCTTTCGTACTATTCTTGTTTGGATTATAATTGAAGTAGAGGATGTAATTGATATGTATACCATGGTATAATTACTTCCCTTTCTCGCTATTAACTAAAAAATTAACCATCCAAATTATCAACCGATACATGAATCTCATTATACTTGAAGATGCAAACAAATAATTATTATACATTTGATTTGAACGGTCTTTTCTCAAGATTTTTACTCATGAGAAGTCATTAAGAGGTATGTGAATGTGTTCAAAAACTCAAGAGAACCACCGTCTCATCAATGCTATGCGAAACAAATCGATTTTAGCCGCCACCTCACCGATGCACGTATAAAAGACTAATATCAATTTTAACTCCAAATAAAAATCATGTATGCACATGATGATTTATATTAAAAGATTCTAGCAGCAAGACACAAAAATGAAGCCTTTATGAGAGAGATGGCGTGTGAGAATATTGCTTTGATATTTGATTACTTTTAAGAGAATTAATTTAAAATCATCTGTTCTTAGTAAATCTCTAATTTAAATGGACCCCACTTTTCATTCACTTCCCCTCTACTTCTAAGCATTCAAGGGCAGAAAAATCTAGAAAGTATGAGTGCCACCTAGATGTCGCAGTAGCTGAAGTAGTATTTTCGAAGAAACAAACATAAATTTTTGCTTGAAAGTAGGAGAAACTTGCTCTACTTCAATTACTTCTTGACTACTTCCGTACAAACAAACAAGCCCTAAATTAAGGCTCCGTTTGGATACCATAGTGTTTTACTTATTTCCATAGTGTTTTTGCCAAAAATAAAACACCATGCGTTTGGAAACCATGATGTTTTTTGAGCTAAATCATTCTCAAACTAAAAACACAACACTTATTTCAAAACACCTTTTAGGTGTTTTAAGTTTGGTGTTTTGATTTTGAGTTTGAGAAGGTGTTAATATAATATCTAACATAATATATTAAATGTAATTAATATAGAGTTATTATCAACATGTTTATTATGTTATACTATACTATATTATATTCTAGTTAATTTAATATATTAGTAATATTTATTAAGTAATATAAAAAGTATAATAATTAAAAATATCTTATATAATAATATAATTCATATAAATACCAGTGTTTAATATGTTATAATGTATTATATAATAATAAAAAATAATAATATATAAATAAACTAATAAAAAATAAAAAATATTGATAATAAGTAATAATATAATAATATACTATACAATTGTATAATCACTATAATATTATTAACTTTTTAATAAATAAATTGTAATAAATTAATAATTATAAAATATTATATAATAGTAACATAAAATATTATATAATAGTAACATATTAATAATACCATAACAATATAATAATATTATTATAAACATATTGTCTAGTAAATACAATATAATATATAAAATATTAATATATTATGTAATAAATAATATAATTTATTATAAAGTAAAATAATTTTTAATAATAAAATAATTTATTGCTAAC